CCAGTGCCGGGCCGGGGCGGCTCCGATCCGCGCTGCTCCGGAGGGCCGCGGCAGCGAGCGGCCTGGGCCGGGCTCAGCCGCGTGTCCCAGACGGGGAGGGGGAAGGCAGGGCTGGCACCGGCTCCGATCCGCGCTGCTCCGGAGGGCCGCGGCAGCGAGCGGCCTGGGCCGGGCTCAGCCGCGTGTCCCAGACGGGGAGGGGGAAGGCAGGCCTGGCACGTCTGTCCTCGGCCCGCACGCGGGGCAGAGCTACCGGTATCGGCATGCCAGGGCGTTCACGTTCTTCACCACGTAGAAGCTCATGGTCAGGGGCGGGATGACCAGGGTGCGGCCGGCGCGCAGGGGCCGCGGCCGCAGCTCGGGCAGCGTCCCATCATCCACCATCGCCAGCAGCTGCCCGTTGAGCTGCACCGACCTGCCAGGGAGAGTTGGCATCAGCGTGGGCAGCCGCAGCAGGCCCGGAGCCTGGCACGTGGAGGCCACGGACCGTGGCACCCACGTGGTCGAGGCCTCCGGTATGCCACAGATGCCAAGTGCAGGCGGTGCTCGGCCCCAGGCGCCCCGCTCCCGGCAGTACCTGCGCGCTGCCCTCCGGGCCTGGCGCCAGGCGAGGGGTGCCCGGCCCCAGGCACTCACCTGGAGTGGAGCCCGTCCTGGCCGTAGGGCTGCAGCAGGTACTGGTGCACCGTCTTGTCCCGCAGCGTCCCCGCCAGCTTGATTTTCTTGCGGGACCGGTGCAGGTTGATGATGAAGAGGGTGATGGAGCCTCGGACGTAGCTGTGGCTGTGGGGGGAGGGAGAGCAGGTGGGGTGGGAGCTGGTCCAGGGGCCCACGCAGGCCCTGCAGCAGGCATGGGGCAAGGCGCTCCCACCCCGCAGCCTGTGCCCGGGGGCAGAGCGCTGGGCACCCTGCTCCTGGCTGGCTGCAGGATGCCAGGGGAGCACTCTGGTGTGGCCCCGCAGGGAGCACCCGGCGAGGTGCGGGCGGTGCCCGCAGCTCCTCCACAAAGGGGGCCTGTCTGTGTGTGCGGGGCTCCTCCCAGTGCTTGGATCGGGTGACCTGCCTGCTGGCCCCCGCGGACGACCACCCACCCAGCCCCTCGACCTGCCCGGACTCACGTGCGGGAGCTGGCGCAGTGCGCGTAGATGCGGAGCTTGTCCCGGATGACCCGGCCGGGCCGCGGCTTCCTCTGCAGCCCCGCCACGTGCACCGCCAGCACCTTGGGGCCCACCAGCCGCTTGTAGAGGAGCGAGACCCAGTAATCCTGCGGGCAAGACGATATGTGGGCTGTGGGGGAGCAGCCCCTGGCCCTGGGCATCGGCTGGGTACTGCAGGGACCGGGTGCAGGGAGCCTGGGTCCACTTTGCTCTCCAGGACCCCGGGAGGGGGCAGAAGGGGTGTGCTCCCTACAGCAGAGCCGGCTCAGTCCCTGGCCCCACCCCGGCAGAGCCAGGGTCCGATCCTGGTCCGCCACCCACTGGCTCAGGCACACGTGGCACATTAAAGGCAGCTCCCACGGACACGGACGCTGCAGCGGTAAAGCCAGCATCAGTGCAACACTCATGGTCCCATCCTCCTGTGCCCTGCGGCACAGGGTCCCCTGCAGCCACCCCCTTGGCCTCACCACGGTGACGCTGGCCTGGGTGTTTGTGTGCCCAGTCCTGGCTTGCAAACACCCAGGAAAGCAGGAGGAGTTACCACAGCATGCTCTCAATTTGGGGGGAAAATATCCTGATTTGGAGCAAGAAGCCTAAAAATCCCCTGTTCTTTTGAGTTGGCTCCATTTCTCCGGGCCCACACAGCCCAAATACCACCTCGCCCCGGGGCGGCGCGACCAGGAGAAGGTGGAGCGAAGCAGGGACTCGAGGTGAGCGGGCCCCCCTCGGCCTGCCTTATCTGGTGGGTCCCCCTGGGGCTCAGCCAGTCCGACCTCCCCAGTGACTCCCGCCGTTAGCTAAAGCCCTAGCTGGGGTGGGTGATCCTCGGCTCCCAGTTCCAGCCCAGGATTCGTCCCCACTTCCAAGAGATGCTGGGACACGGCTGCGTGAGATGGGAGGATGGGAATGCAATGGTGCAGCGGTGCCCGGATCAGGTCGCAGGGGCCTGGAGAGAGATCCCCGAGGCGGCCTCCGGGAAATCCTCCCACCCAGTGGGACGATGGCCACACAAACCCCGCATCCTGAAGCCAAGCGGTCCTCCAGCACCAACTTGGCTGCGCTGGACACTGCGGGCAGACGCCCGACTCTGCACCCCCAAAACAGGCACCGAGTCACGGCCACGGGTCACCTTGTGAGATGCCCTGCAACACCACAGTGCAGCCTGCAGGTCCGGCAACACCAACCCCAGCAGCAGTGGCCTGGGCAGAATATTGGGAAGAGACGGCACAGCCAGGTTTGGAGAGACGATGAAGTCACGGCCTGAGACCCGACGGGGGCAGAGGAAATGCTACACGTCTCCGGTCGTGCTCCTACCCGGGGGAACGGGGGACGAAGTGCAGCCAGGCCAGGGGTCACAGCCAGCGCCAGCCGGGGCCAGGTGGGCCGTGCAGTGACTGTCCCTGGAGCCGTCTCCGCTCCCAGCTCCGCCCAGCTTGCTTCCCTGCCGGGCTCCGGGCTAAGCCCATGTGCAGGCAGTGAAGGTCGGCGCAGGGGTCGTGCACCCCAGGCCCTGCTGCAGGGCCGGTCTCCTCCACCCCAGGGCCAGGCAGGGCACGGGGGGCTCCATCATTGCTGGACAAGCGAGGCTGGGGGAGCATCCTGCAGCTCGGAGCAGATGGAGGAACCGGCTGAAACTTCCCTTGTCATCGCCTCGCTGACAGAGCCCAGGCGACGAGGCCGCCGAGAGGGAGCGGAGCCCGGGCCGGGAAGCACCCGGGGGCAAGCAGCACTGTCCCGCAGAGGCCGGGGGCTGCGAGGCCTGGAGCCCCCCGTGCCTTCGGACGGTGCAGCCGGGCGGCGGCAGGAGCAGGCGGCTTCCCCCCCGGCCGGGCCAGGGGGCAGGGAGCCGGCAGGGCCAGGCCCCCCTGCAGCCGGCCTGGAAGACGAAACAGGCCGGTGCTTTGAGAGGCGGAGGCGGCGGTAAATCATGCAGCGGCTCCGGCACGATGAAAGCATTGCTGTCGCAGGAAGGGGTGTGGGCGGGTGCCTGGGGGCCGGCACCATCCCCCAGCTGCACTGAGGCAGGCGGCCTGGGCTCTCCAGCCTGGGGAAGAGTAGCCCCACAGGCCCCCAGCCCACCCTCCTTCCCCCCAGGGCAGTGCCGGCTCCGCCAGCCTCCACGGGCCCGAGCCAGAGACTTCTCTGCAGCACGAGCCTCTCACAGGCCCTCGAAGCGACCTGCTGGATGCACGGGTCCCGGGAGCGCGCCATTGCCTCGCTGTGGGGCTGCAATCCTCACGCTGCGGGACATGGGGCAGCGGCAGAGGCCAGTGGAAGGCAGGGCTGCTTGGCTGGCACGGGGATGCCCGGCCTCTCGGGGCAAGGGCATGTTACCTCGTGCAGGAGGGTGTGGGCCGTGCTCCCCACGTGGCAGGTTGTGACGGGCTGAGCTGCTGGCACGGGGCAGCTGCTGGGCAAACGTGCTAAGCTGCCACTGCCCCATACGATGCCCAGCATTGCTCCCTCCCCACGTTGTCTGTGCGCGATGGGACCTCAGCAGGATGGCGCCCCGGCTCCCCGTGCACCGCGCAGCAGACACACGGTGGCAGGACGCAGGGAGACGGAGCAGCCAGGTGCTGCTGGCCCCTGGCCGAGCTCCTCGGGCGTGGAGCAGGGGTGGGCAGAAGCTGAGCCTGACCCTGCAGCGGTCCTCGCCCACGCAAGCCCGTCCTGCTCGCCCCCGCAGTGCCCAGTGACACTGCCCACGCAGGTGGCTCCTACCTCCAGCTGCAATTAGCAGAGCTCACTGCCCCGGCTAATGGGAGCCCCAGGGATCACAGCCATGTGTCTGACAGAAGCAGGGCTTGGAAGCTGCCCCAGGCGCGGCTGGGATCCAGGAGCTGGAGCTGGGGCAGGGCGCCCTGGGCCTTGCGAGGAAGGGGCAGGTCGACTCCCCTGCCGGGGCATGCCTGAGCTCTCAGGCAGGCGCAGCAGACAACCCAAGCGCGGCCCATGGGTTCAGACCCACCCAGTCCAAGGCTGCAGGAAAGTTTCCAGGCCCTGAGTTTAAAGTTTCACTGGCAGTTTTCACAGCTCAGCTTTGCAGAGGGGCCCGACTGGGATGCCCAGCTCACGCCATGCAAAGCGAAGCACAGAGACCGTGCGTGGGAGACCGTGCTATTTAGGGAGTGCACGACTCTCATCCCCTAAGCACCTGGTAATGGGCATTACGGCAAGCCCCAGGACAGACTGACAGACACACGGACCAGCAGTGGCTGGCTGGAGACAGCAAGTAGGCACCGAAGCAGACCCCGGCTTGGGCATGCAGGATGCCTTCCCGCGGCTCCCACTGCTCTGGGCTGCAACCAGGAGGTGAACAACAACGAGGACCCCTCGATGCGCTGGCTCCGAGCCCCGCAGGTGGGCAGCAGGACTCCTGCCAGCTCGGAGAGCAGTACGCGGCTGCCTCCGGGAAGGACAGGTCCTGCCATCGCCTCCCCCCGCGCCTCTGACCTTCCTCATCCGGCCCCTCGCGCTGCTCGGCTCTCAGGTGCGGAAAGCAGGTTTCAGCGCCGTTCAGAGGGAGGAGAAACCCAGCGTCGCCCTGTCTCCAACCTGGAGCTGGCCGGAGAAGGCACTGCCCCAGGGCAGCCCGCACCTCCCCGCAGGGCCGGCTGCTCTGGCCCTGGTGCAACTACATCGTTTCTGCTCAGAGCCGTCCCGGCTGCCGTCTGGCCCTCGCGATCGTTTCTGCTCAGAGCCGTCCCGGCTGCCGGCTGGCCCTCCCTGCACACGCTGCCCTTCCCTGCTCCGTTAGCGGCACAGACGAGGCTGCCCCGGATGACATGGACTCGCAGGAGCCCAGACCACAGGGCGGGCAGGGAACTTTGGTTTCTTTTTAAGGACATTTTTCGTGTTCCAAGCCAAATCGGCCAAATCAAGTCCAAATCCGCGAGTCAGTCCAGAAGCATACGTGGTCCTACACGCAGCAAGCATCCCCCACCCCACCAAGGGCTTCAGACATTTCTGAAGTCTGTTGGCGGGCATCCTATGTGCAAGCCCAAGCCCGGAGTGCGGATGCCCCCAAGTTTCGCCTGCCCTCAGCCCTGTGGCCAGAGGAGCAGGCTAGGGAGGAGCCTCCCATTTCCATAAAGTGGGGTTTAAGCCCCAACGCCTGGGTGGGTACTGAAGCACGCCAGAAGAGCAGTTATCCTGGGGAGCGCTGAAGGAAACCTGCCTTCATGGACCCCGATACGTTGTGCTTCCCTTGCCAGGTAAGTGTGGGAACCCCCGCCGGAGAGGATGTGGGACGACTCCGCTCCCCGACTCAGCCCGGGAAACCCTCCAGGATGCTCGCCCGAGGCTACCTCAGCGTCAGGACCTGCGAGGCCAGAGGGCCTGAGCTGTACGTCTGGCCTGACCTGCCCCTTCCCCTGCCTCGGGCCCGCCGGCTCCACATCAGACTCATTGCAGGGTGTTGTTGTGGAGGCAGACAGGTTTCTCAGCCTGCCCCGGGGATGGGCATGGGGCAGAGGGTGGCATTGCCCTCTCGTCCCTGACTCCTGCAGGGGCAGACACCTGGGCAGAGCCAGGAGCTCTTCTCCCCATCCCGCATGCCCCGCCATGCTGCTGCCTGAGCGTGGTGGCCCCAGGGCCCACGGCCCGGTGCTTGGTCACCCTGCTGCTGGGGGCTGATCCGTTTCCAGTCCCGCTCTCGGGGCTCCCGACTGCCCCAGGATGGCTCCTTCTGGGCGCGCGGGAAGGCTCCGTGCAGGCCTGGGAGCCCGGCGAGCGGCGAGGACTGCACCTTCTGCTTTGGGGTGCTACGCAGGATCCTTTTCGCCCTGCCCATAGAGCTGGCGGAGGTGCAGGCGCGTGCGCGGGGCAGGACGAGCCCTGGCCGTGCCAGGTGGCAGCGTTTCCATCCGTTCGCCGCTGCAGCAGAGCGGCACAAGCGGCCCGGGAAACCCGGCTTCTCTGCTGCGCTGGTGCCCGAGGTGCCCCTCGCTGGGCTACCCGCTCAGCCCAGTGGCCAGCAGGACCAGGCCCGCAGAAAGGGCACGGGGCAGCCTTTCTGCAACCCGTTCCTGGGAGCTGGCTGCTTGGGGCCCTGCGGGAGTGCCACGCCGCGCCGCGCCGCGCCGCGCCGGGGGAGAGGGTCAGGATGAACACACGCAGCCCCTGGGAGCAGCCTGCGCTGAGGGCAGCAGAGCCCGACGCTCCCGGCCCCTTCTCTGCCAGGCAGGGCCCGCGGGTCCTGGAAGAGGAGAAGCCAAGCGCCCCTGGGGGAGCCCAGCCCGGGTCTCCGGCCGCTGACAGCCAGCGATTGAAGCTGTGGCAGATGCCGCCCTTCTCTCAGCACCCGCGGCCTCGTGCCCAGCCGCTGGCGGAAACGTCTTTGTCGCAGGGATCGCGTTTCACACTGCGGCTTCCTGCGCTGCGCAGCGGCTGCTTTCATCTCCCCGGCGGCTCCCACGGGCAGGGGGGCCCGCCGCGCCCGGCCGCGGGGCCGTGTCCGCAGCTCCGCCAAGCCTGCAACGAGCCTCACCTGCCCAGGGCTCCTCGAAGGGCAGACAAGCACGTGCTGAGCCCGGCGGCACAGGGGAAACGAATGAATAATCCCAGGGCCTTTCGTTTCTGGGGTCAGTTACCTTGTGCAACCTCTGCCTGCTGCTGGCTCTAACGAGCCAGGGGTTATTCCTGTAGCCCCCACACCGCCACGGGAGCCAGGGGCTTTAATGCTGCTGACCCGCCGGTCCCCATCTGACTGTGGTGCGGAGGGGCCGTGCAGCAGGGAGGCCCACCCCGCGGCCGGAGGCAAGACCCTGCCCAGGCCCGGGGGGCTGGAGCCGGCTGGCTTACCCGAAGCGGCCCCGGCAGGGTCGGCAGATGGGGACCGGGCCCAGCCTCGTAAATTCCTTGCAGCGGGGATGTGAGCGCCGGCCGCGCTGCCAAGTCCTCCGCTCACAAGGTGCAGAATTTATTAGCCCGAGGAAAGATGAAAAGAAAGCCTGCTACCTTTCAAGCGGTTTTACACACGGCCGCTTTACTAGTGCGCCGCGCCGGGGACCCGCAGCTGCCCGCCCCCGTGTGCAGGGTGGCCGTGGAGAGGGGCTGCG